AAAGCTGGAAGTGGCGCTGTGGCTCAAGTGGTAGAGCTCTAGCCTTGATCTGAAGAGCTAAGGGACAGCGCCCAGGCCCAGAGTTCAGGCCCCATGACCGGACCCAAAAAAAAAATTTTTTTTTAAATCCATCAAACATGAGAGCAAAACTTTATAAAACTCTGAGTAAACTGAATCACTGATATAGAAGACTTGTGGAAAAAATGACCTAAATGAATAGAGAAACGTACCATGTTTTTGGGTATAAGACTCATATTGTTCCACTGTTTAAATTTTGACTCAGAGGCTCCTTAATCCTAAAGACAATCCTAGAAGCATATGTGTGTATGTTGCTGGGGATTGAACCAGGGCTTTGGGCTTGCTAGACAAGTATTCTGTCACTTGAGCTTTATTTTTTTTCTTTCAGAGATATAGTCTCACACCTTTACTCTTCTCATTTTGCATTTGTGGGAGGCAGAGAACCTTGTAGTTCATTGCTGAGTGGAATTGGAAACAGTGTAATCTCTGCCTTCCACTTTAAGTGGGACATGAATAGTAATTGGTTATTTGTTTCAGGTACTGAACAGTACAGTGAATACACTGGGTATGCTGAAACTTACCGATGGGCTCGAAGCCATGAAGATGGGAGTGAAAGGTCTGTATTCCTGGCACTCACGTTTGACTGAAAATGAAAATGTGTGGACTCAATATCCCTTTATGTCTTACTCCAGCAGTTGAACCTTTTTAATATTTAGTATTATAGGGTCATTGGAAGTTAAAACACTTATTATCCCCATATACCATAGTGAGAAACAGAGAATATGTAATCCAAAAGTCTAAGGCAAAAACAAGCAAGGCAAAATTCTGCAGCTCTTTACCTCTGGGTAGCCTATTGGGAGTAAAGGTTACCTTCCAAGTACACCCAACTTACTTAGAGTCTGTTCTAACTAGAGTTTAAAGCCTTTGATCGGCTTATTTAGCTGTCCTTAATTTCTTCAAGAGATCAGATAGATGGGAACCTGTGTTCAGACAGTTTGCTAACTGCTCTGCAGCAGTGACAACAGAATCTATGGTGAATGTTTCAGGTTCTGTCCCTTGTTTATTCTTGAAATAAATTTTATATTTCCACATCGTTGCTTTCTTACCAAATGGTATGATTTGCCAGAGGTTGATTTTTTTTTGCAGAAGTGTTGCTGGAAAGCTTGAAGAGATTATATATTTGGGATTGTACAAGTTTTGGTAATTATCACCTCAGTTAGTCCTTCCTACTTTCCAAGCAACATGTTATTGTCTGTTTTGATGTCTTTGTTTTTTTAAAAATAGTTTCTCTCAGTTAGTAATTGAGCACAGTAGGTAGAATGTTGTACTGAATCAATACACATTTTTCATAGCACCTAACTTCAGGGATTATTTTCTGGACAATATGTTGTGATGCTACACCCTGGTGATTTAGAGCAGATCTCAGAGTAAAGGAGGAATGTCATGTTTATTGTACTAAAGGAAAACACAGGCTTTGCTACCTTGTGTTTACTCCCAAATCCTTTAACCTCTGAGTCTTGCTGAAATTGATGCACTGTTTACAATATGTCAGCTGTTGTTATCTCTTGGGTTTTTTTTCACTTTATTCTTTAATACCTGACAGTGGGCAATACGTATGCCTCTGAATCTAAAATTAGGTTGTTTTTCTGGCCTCCTGCTTGGCTAAGATCTGTCATCACAGTTTGTTTGTTTTTAATATTTTAAACTGCCCAGTGTCCACAAGCCAGCCCCTCTGAAGGTTTTGCCTGGGGACTTTGCCTGTTGCTCATCTTGCTCCCCTTCTGCCCTATCCCAGGGATGACTGGCAGAGACGTTGCACTGAGATTGTCGCCATTGATGCACTTCACTTCCGACGCTACCTCGACCAGTTTGTGCCTGAGAAAATGAGACGTGAGCTTAACAAGGCTAGTAACCTTACTGCTGAGTTTATCTGGTAGTTGTCATCTATTTACTGCCATTTTATTAATGGTGAAATTAATGCTTCCTGGTAACTCTTGCCGTGTCAGTACATCTGCCTGCTGCTCTCCTGATTTAATGGCTCTGTCAGCTTGTACAAGATGTACTTTCCATTTCATAATTGTTTGATTTTGCTTGATATTAGCCACACATGCATTATCGTAAAGTCACATAGCAATGAATTTGACCTAAACATTTTTTTCCCAGGGGTCAGTGGCATTTTTCTCTACAGGGTATGTGATCAGAATTAAAAAAGAAAAACCAGAAGGGTGAATTGTTGTTCCATTCATTGTTTATTAATTTGATCATTTTTGAGGTGTTTATGACAGAAATAATGGTATACTGTGGTTCTAAGTGCTTTTTTTGTATTACACAAATACAAAAATGAGCCATTTCTCTTTTATTTGTTCAGATTTTGCTTCTGTTAACTGTGATTAATAACCCCCTTCACACAATAGAAGACTGATTCTATTCTACAGATATAAGCCCTAAGATTTCCTTCAGTTCCCCAAATTACTCTGCTAGCCAAGAAGACTAACTTACTTCTGTGAACTGTTTGATTACTCTATGTAGGATATGTCTAGTAAGATAGCATGTTGTGTGGTTTTGCCTGGCTACATTACCTCTGGTAATGACTGGGGTCTGGATATATATATAAAAAAAGCAAATAATCCCAAAAGGCTCTTATTAACCTTACAATTTAGTAGATACTTAGAAGTAATTATATGTCTTATGTCCTGATCTATTTGAGTATCTCATTTTGGATGAACATGTTTTATCTGTAATTTATTAGATGATTTTAATGTTTGTAGAGTTCTGGAATGAATCTCAAAAAGTTTAGAGATGTAATTCTAGCTTACTCAGGAGGCTGAGATCTGAGGATCACAGTATGAAGCCAGCCCGTGTAGGAAAGTCCATAAGACTCATCTCCAATAAACCACCCCCCCTTACCCCCCCAAAAAAAAAGTTGGAAGTGGAGCTCTAGCTCAAGTGGTAGAGCGCTAGCCTTGAGCAAAAACAGCTCAGGACAAGCCTCAAGTTAAAGTCACAGGACTGGCACAAAAAACAAAAAAACAACTTTAAAAAAAAATGCTGTTTCTTAAAATTGAACTTACAGAAATCTTTTTTTTTTTTGGGGGGGGGGTCCGGTCGTGGGGCCTGAACTCTGGGCCTGGGTGCTGTCCCTCAGCTCTTCAGCTCAAGACTAGTGTTCTACCACTCGAGCCACAGCGCCACTTCTGGCTTTTTTCTTTTTGCTTATGTGGTGCTAAGGAATCAAACCCAGGGCCTCATGCATGCAAGGCAAGTGCTCTACCACTGAGCCACCTTCCCAGCCCTGAGATACCTTTTTTTTTTTTATGGTTTTTCAAAAACTATACAGAAAGACTGCTCTTTAGGATGTCAAAAGCTCTAAAATTTTCTCCTACCCAATACCAAGAGTAAAAGTCAGATTTACTTGTACTGAGGAGTATATTTTTCTAGAATGTAGTTAGATACAATTTGAAGTATAGGGCAGGGAGTGTGGCATTTGCAAGGAGCTGTATTTACTATTACCCTAACAGTTAAAAAAAAAAATATATCTGGGCACTGGCATATCACACCTCTTATCCTAGCTACTTAGGAGGCTGAGATCTGAGGATCATGGTTTGAAGCCAATTAATCACCAAAAAGCTGGAGCTTTGACTCAAGTGGTTGAATGTCAGCCTTGAGCACAAAAGTTTAGGGACAGTGCCCAGGGCCCTGAGTTCAAAATCCAGGACTAGCACAGAAAAAGAAAAGGAAGGAAAGAAGGAGGGAGGGAGAGAGAGAAGGAAGGAAGAAATGAAGGAGGATAAATGTAAACCTACTTTCACTGTTCCAGATTCTTGCCTTGAAGAAATTGACTTCAAACTGAAGATATTTTATGATGGAGTATATCAAGTAGACTAACAATTTATCTTCAGATTTTGGCAAGTGTTCCTTACTTAAACATGTATATAGGAATTTGTCAAATGGACGTTGAAACTAGAAGACATTTTATATGATAGGTGGTTTGGAGAGAAATATATGAAAAGAAGGTAAAACCAGAATGTTTAACATAGCTGTACAATATATTGGCACAAATTGTAGGATTCCTTTTCATAGGATAGGTTATGAGAGTAAGTCATTCACTTTGAGAAATTACCTGAAGTCATGATCTTTTTCAATGTTAAACTTTTGGAATGAATGAGTCTTCTTTTTTTTCTTGAAATTCCCAATATCTAACTGATGCACTCTACATTTACTTGTATATCACTAACCTTCAGTTTACCTGCTCTTAATGACACCAGAAATGTTAAAAATATTGATATGTATGTATGAATAGATAAATCAGTTTTATCACTAACATTGAAGAACATTGAAGTATAGCAATTCAGTTCTGTATTGCCTTTCTGTTTGTCACTATGTCACTGAACAGTTAAATCTCATTTATGACTCAAGGGATTCTTTAGAGTCATATGCAAATAGGATTTTTTCAAATAATATAGGTATATATCATTGTTAGTAAAAGTAATGATTAATTACTAGGTACTAGACACTCCTCTCAACACTATAGATACACAGATAGATTCTTTGCAGATAGATAGATAGAGAGATAGATAATTTTTTTTAAAACAAAGCCTCACTGTTGCAGACTTGGGTAACCCTCTTGATTTAGTCCCTCAGTTAACTAGTGTAGGGGCATGCATTATCTGATATGATCATCAACACCTGGGTGATAGAGACACTGTTCTTAGCTCCAGTTTAGAGACCATGGGCTGAGATTCAGGAAGTTGGGTGATTTGCATCTAGGTACTAAAGCTAGTAAGTAGCTGAGCCAAGTTACTTTTATTTTTGTCACCTCTGAGGAGAACCCAGGACCTCACTTGCATTAGTCTAGCTGTCTACCACTGGTCTACACCCATAGCCCTTTAGAAAATTTGGATTTGGCCTACACTTTTTTTTTCTTTTTTTGGTACTGGGCATTTGAACTCAGAGCCTTAGGCTTGTCAGGCAAGTGTTCTGCCTATTAACCATTTTTAATCTTAAATCATTGAGAATATTCCCTGCTTCTAGTTAACATATCTCCTAAAAGCGTATGCCACCCTTTCTCTTTTGATGGTAAACCTAATGACCCATTGAATCCTCTCAGTCTTTTTTTTTGGGGGGGCAGGGTCTGGTGGTGGGCCTGAACTCTGGGCCTGGGCGCTATCCCCCCCCCCTTCAGCTCAAGGCTAGAGCTCTACCACTTGAGCCCCAGCGCCTCTTCCGGCTTTTTTCTTTTTGCTTATGTGGTGCTGAGGAATCGAACCCAGGGCCTCATGCATGCAAGGCAAGCTCTCTACCACTAAGCCACCTTCCCAGCCCCTCTCTCAGTCTTTTCTGCCTGTTACACTTTTTCAAACACTCAAAAGTTGGCCCCAACCTACTTACTGAAACTAGGAAATACCCCAGATTTAAAATAGCCCACATGGAATAGTGTCGCATTTTTCTAAATGAAGCAACAAAGCCCAAGACCTCTTTTTGCCAGCAGAAATCTGCGTAGCTAAGCTCCAAAGGTCTGTTTGCCACATCTAGGCATTATTGGCCAGGTAACGATTGCAAGGGCATCCTCAACCTCTGGAAGATGCCAGCCCCATACAGGCTTCACATCTCCTGTTGGACCCACATCATGGCTTGCAAAGTGGAGTTGAATTTTAAAAGGAAGGAATCAGTTTCATTTTATCTAACTGATACTTTGAAGCTATATTTAATCTTGTGAGAGATCAGCTGAGTGACATTCTAGAGGTGAATTATCTTCGGCATGGGGAAGATTTATGATTCCAGTTTCTAAATTGGTAAATAACTGCAAGGAAGGAAATAAAAAAGAAATCACTGTGAAAAGTTGTAGTTGGCCATGCTAGGCTCCTTTAGATGAGGTTACATAGTGAATGTATTCATGGAGCCTTATGGGATGGAAATTAAATTAAGTAGATTTCATCATTACTTTTTAAAAAATAGATTCCTGTCTTGATTTTTTTTCCTGTCTTGATTTTTCTTATGTTCTAATACCAAATTTTAATGGGATTACTAAAACCAAAGCTTGATATAAAACCAATGAAAACTTTGTGCAAATATTCCAAAAAATTTCAAACTCTGACCAGGCGCCAGTGGCTCACACCCGTAATCCCAGCTACACTAGAGGCTGAGATCTGAGGATCACAGTTCAAAGCCAGACCAGGCAGGAAAGTCTGTGAGACTTTTATCTCCAATAAACCACCAGAAAACTGGAAGTGGTACTGTGGCTCAAGTGGTAGAGCACTCGCATTGAGCTAAAGAACTGAGGGACAGCACCCAGGCCGAGTTCAAGCCCCACGACTGCCAAAAAAAATGTCAAACTCTGTAAAATATGTCAATATCTTTTTCAGGACTATTAGTTCAAAATGTTTCATTTCTAGTTAGTTTTCCCTTAATATTCCTTATATTATTAATATTATATTTTTCCTTATTTTATTTTTCTTTGTATTTGGTAATTAACTAAAGATAAGAGCCTCACAGACTTTCCTGCTCAAGCTGGCTTTGAACTGTGATCCTCAGATATCAGCCTTCTGAATTACAGGAATGAGCCACTGGCACCCAGCATAATGGCCAGTTTTTAAGATTGCTTTTTGGGAAAATTAATTCTTACTGTTACACTTTGCTTCTTACAATTTTGTATTTTCAGTTCTCCATTGTTAAGTCTTAGCTTCACTAAGCTAAGCTGTTTTGGCTTGCTGAAATAAACTTGGCCAAATATACTTAAAGACATAGTGAAAAAGCCTAAAAACATTTTGCTAGTATAAGACAAAGACATAAGCCAGAAGGCTCCTCCTCTTTGTGTAGGCAGCTCAGAAAACCTGACAGCACACAGTAACAGTATTCCATTTATTGTGACAGAGGCTTTGCTCTCCCCATCCTTGTTCCTGTACTGTCAGATTCTTTATCTTTTGAGAACCTACCTAGCAGAGCTCTCTGTTACTGTTGGCCTTTCAAAATCTCTTTCAAGAGATTTTCAGAAGCTCCATGCATCTGATTATGCAGGTAATTTGTGAGTTCTTGTGTAAGCTCTGCACCACAGTCCTGAAAAATAGTCTGGCACCAACTTATAATTAATATCTGTCAGAATTTACAGCCTAGGAGGTGTTGGAAGGAATAGCCTTGTTAATCCATCCAGACAGTGTATGAAATAAACTTTTACACCTTGTGTAAGCTTCAGAGAGTGATTTACTATATTTCCATGTGTGGGTTTCACAGAAGTGTCTTTCTATATCCTTGCTTTTTTTTTCTAGGAACATTTGTCACTGATCATTCTTTCAATTTTTCTTATTATACATAAGCTATATTTTAGCCTTTGTTGGTATCTGAAAGAACCTGGAGAGATTTACTTTGCTACTAAAACTCTTAATAAAGCCTGGTGGTTTCAAAAAACTAAGAATTTTGGCTGGACATAGAACCGGTGGCTCCTGCCTATAGCCCTAGCTACCCAGGAGGCTGAGATCTGAGGATCACAGTTCAAATCTAACCCAGGCAGGAAAGTCTATGGGATTCTTTATCTCCAGTTAATCAATAAAAAACCAGAAGTGACCTAGTCCCCAGGGCCCACCAATCTCCCTCCCAAGTGGTCTTCAGTTTCTCTTTGCTAAATAAACTCTTTACAACCCTTGGGGGGAGGGGGAGCCAGAAGTAGAACTGTGGCTCAAGTGATAGAGTACTAGCCTTAAGAGAAAAGGTTCACAGGCCCTCATTTCAAGCCCCAGTATAGGAATAGTGGCCTAATATCCCAAATATACAAAGAGCTCAAGAAACTAAACGTTCCAAGAATCAACCACTCAAATGGGCAAATAAGCAAAATAGAGACTTCTCAGAAAAAGTAAAAATGGCCAAGCAAAAACACTGAAATTCCTTCTCACTTCCAAATGGTCATCAAAAATATAAACAACAGATGCTGGCACAGATGTGAGGGAAAGGAACTAATACACTGTAGGTGGGAATGTAAACTTATTTAACCACTCTGGAAAGCAGTATGGAGGAAGAGAGGAAGAAACAATATTCATAATTATCAGTTTGGACATTTGATAAATCCAGTGCCTTAGACTAACACAGATTTCTTTTATCCAATGCAAACAAAAAGAAACGAGGTATCAGAAAGATTTCAAAAAACAATAGGTTCTTTTTCTCTTCCTAATCCTAGATATTTCTCTTTGTTTTCCCCTCTACATTGGCCCTAAGAAACAGGAAATAAGAGGGAGAGAACGTAAGTTTGATAAATGGACACATCAGTCAGTACATCAGTACTGTTTGTGTCTGGTTGCTCAGGGGCTGTGCTATTTCTTTTATCCTACAGGCTTACTGTGGATTTGTCCGTCCTGGAGTTCCTTCCGAGCATCTTTCTGCTGTGGCCACAGGAAACTGGGGATGTGGTGCATTTGGGGGTGATGCCAGACTGAAAGGTGAGTGAATTGTTCAGAAGGGCAAATATTTAGTTCATCAAGCCAGATGTTCTGTTATAAGAAACCACAAGAGTCTAAGAAAGATTTGATAAATCCTCTTTTATTCTTACTATGTTTAAACAGTGTATTGTTTTTATGTGTGTGGGGGAGGGGCATTTATCTTTTGATGAACCAGAGATGTTATTCTCCTGAATACAGAAAAGTCAGGGAGAAAATTGTGCAAATGACTGAGGGATTTCAAACCAAAGTGCCCACATCAACCTTTTCCTTCACTAGAATGGTTTGAGTTTTGTTGTTGTTTGCTTCTTTGTGCTGGTTCTGAGGCTTGAACTCAGGGCCTACATGCTGCCTGAGCTTTTTTCATCAAGTCAGCACTCTAACACTTGAGCCACAGTTCAACTTTTGATTTTTTGGATGATTAATTGGAAATAAGAATCTCACATAGACATTCCTGCCTGGCCTGGCTTCAAACCATGTTCTTCAGATCTCAGCCTCCTGAGTAGCTAGGAATCCAAGGTATGAGCCACCAGTGCCCAGCCAGGAGTGGTTTTTATGAGCAGAGTAGTTTCACTGACCTATTAACTGCCAAACAGATGAGTCTGCTATGTTGGGCACTGTGGTTGGCACTGAGAAGGTAAAGCTGAATAAGAGATAGTCTCTGGTTGGAGAGAGCCTTAGACAAAGACAGCACACATGATGAGTACTCTGATAGTGACATGGTGGGGAGCTGTCCGTTGAATGGCACCAAGAAAGAGGCATGTGAATGCCTGTAAAAGACCAATGTTTGTATTTTGTTTTGTGGTAGGAAAAAGTTACAAAAGCCAATCAACAAAACTTTTGGCCCTTTATCACATTATAACAGTTGCTTTACTTTTCAAAATATCAGTTATAGAAAATAGTATTGTATATTTAGGACAGTTACCATTTCATTTCACCTGGACTTGTTCAACACAAATAGGGTATATACCACAGTAATAATTTTGACACAAACTACCCAGAGTAAATGAATGCAGAGCCTATAGCTTGCCAGGTAGAATTCCCTGCACAACTGCCTCCACTTCAAGCTGCAGCCAAAAGGCTTGGACACCCCTAGGTAGCCTGCATTTCTGGCCAGCTGGCCAATCTGAGAGGCTCCCATGTCCTCTTCAGTTTGAAATCAACTGAAGTTACCCATTGAGCCTCCAATCCTATACTTAAGATCACATAAAGATAAACATAGAGTGAGATCTAGGAGGGAGTGCAGAGCATTGATAACCCCTATGATCTGTTTCCTTATACATGCCAACATGTTCTAGAAATGAGTTCTGCCTATTGTGGTGCCCAGAGTTTTTATTGGGGTCTCATTACATAGGTGTGCTTGATCAAATCAGTGGTCATGTGATTGAACCCTATCTTCCTGAAAGTTGGGCTCTCTGAATAGACCCAATTAGCCAAAGACAATTCCAAGGTTTTTGTTTTGTTTTCTTTTTGTGTGGGTCCTGAGGCAGGAACTCAGGGCCTGGGCACTGTCCCTGAGCATTTTTGCTCAAAATAGCATTCTACCACATGGGCCACAGCTGCACTGCTGGCTTTGTTTATTTGGGTTATTAATTGGAGATAAGAGTCTCAGGAACTTTGCTTCCTGGGCTGGCTTCGAACTATGATCCTCAGATCTCAGCCTTTTGAGTAACTAGGATTATAGGTGTGAACCACACACACATGGCCAGCCTATTCCAAGGGTTTTGAGGCTCCTACCAGGAACCAAGACAAAGACCAAATTCTTCCTTATAAAGCAATTGTTAAAGGTATAATTATAGTACAGGTAGTCTGGAGGACTATAGCTTAAAGCCAGTCCATGCAAAAGGATTTACTTGATTCCCATTTCTCAATAAACAACAAAGCAGAGCTGGTGACATGGCTCAAGTGGTATAGTGCCAGCCTAGCAAGTGCAAAGAATTCACACCCCAACACTGTTTTTTAAAAAAAAAAAAGACTGTGGGTAATAGGATAGAGTAAGGAGCAAAGAGCCATCCATGTGTTTTGTGATGATCAAGCAGGATTGAATCACCACTGGCCTCATTAGAGAGTGGCAACACTGGGAACAGCTGACAGGCATACGATAAGGAGCATGGCTGCAACCAAACCTTGCCTTCTGAATTCTTATCATTAAGTCTTTAGCCCTCTCTACCAGAGAAATGTGGACCTCACAAAAAGAGTAATCTCATCCATTCTACATAAAGAGGAACCAGTATCTTGTAACATAACAGGTTTTTCTGTTCAGACTGTATTTTACAGCATCATTTATAATTTGCTACTTTGTTAAATTAATAATATGTCTAAGATGAAATTCAGACTCTACTAGAAATAACTTTTTTGGGGGGGATCCGGTCGTGGGCCTGAACTCTGGTCCTGGGCAGTGTCCCTCAGCTCTTTACCTCAAGGCTAGCACTCTACCACTTGAACCACAGTACCACTTCTGGCTTTTTTCTTTTCTTCTTATGTGGTGCTGAGGAATCGAACCCAGGGCCTCATGCATGCAAGGCAAGCACTCTACCACTGAGCCACCTTCCCAGCCCCCTAGAAATAACTTTGAAGTTGTCAAACTCCTTGGTTCCCAGCACACCCTCAACAAAAAATTAAACATTTTTAAGTACATGTAAAGAACCACTTTCCCTTGATAATCATGCTATCTTGTAAAATAGCATAATAAAATGATTCTATTATAATGAAGCCAGATATCCTCCAAACAATAAAAAAGCTTGTTGTTTCTATAAAAATGGCACCTTTGGCCTGGGCTTCAGTGGCCCACATCTGTAATCCTAGATACTTAGGAGGCTGAGATCAGAGTTGGAAGCCACCCTAGGCAGGAAAGTCCCTAAGACTCTTTACCTCCAATTAACCACAAAAAACCGGAAGTGAAGCTGTGACTCAAGAGGTAGAGTGTTAGCCTCAGGGACAATGCCCAGGTCCTGGATTCAAGCCCTAGCACCTGCACCTGCACCTCCTCTTCTCCCCCCCCCCAAAAAAATACATTTGGTATTTCTTTTGAAAACCTGGAAAATTACCATGAAGCATGTAAAAATTGCTATAATTCACTGTGAACATTTTGGTAGCCATAATTTTGTATAAAAAATTTTGTCTACAAAAATATGTGGCCATCTGCCAGGCATCGGTGGCTCAAGTCTATAATCCTAGTTACTCAGGAGACTGAGATCTGAGGATCACAGTTCAAAGCCAGCCTGGGCAGGAAAGTCCATGAGACTCTTATCTCCAATAAACCACTGAAAAAAACGGAAGTGGCGCTGTAGCTCAAGCAGTAGAGCACTCTCCTTGAGCTGAAGTGCACAGGGACAGTGCCCAAGCCCAGTTCAAGCCTCATAACCGAAAAAAAAACAAAAACAAATGTGGCCATCTGACATGAGTAAGATCACACTGTACATTCTATGCTCTACCTTCTTTTTTAAAACGCTGCAGTCAAGCCGGGCACTGATGGCTCAGGCCTGTAATCCTAACTACTTAGGAGGCTGAGATCTGAGGATGGTGTTTAAAAGCCAGCCTGGGAAGGAAAGTCTGTGAGACTCTTTATCTCCAATAAACCACCAGAAATCTAAGTGGCACTGTGGCTCAAGTGGTAAAGTGCTTGCCTTGAGCTGAAGAGCTGATGGACAGCGCCCAGGCCCAGAGTTCAAGCCCCTACAACCGAAAAACAAAAACAAAAAACCTACAGTCTTAGGTGTTACCTGAGACTGCAGGCAATACACCTAGCTACTCAGGAAGGTGAGATTTGAGGATCATGGTTGGAAGATAGCCTGAGCAAGAAAGTCTGTGAGACTCCAATTAACCACGAAAAAGTGAATAATTGTGGATCTAGTGGTACAGCACCAATCCTCAGCACAAAAGTTCAGGGAGTGCCCAAGCCCTGAGTTAAAGCCCCAGGACCAGCACAAAAAACAACAACAACAACAACAAAAAACCCTACAGCCTCAATACTTGATCAATGTGAATTTACTGCCAATGTTTTTATTGATGACTTGTATTCTATTGTGTATGTATATTTTATTTCACAGATGCTATATTCAGGGACAGTTGGTTTATTTCCCTTGTAAGCAGTACTCTAGTTTATAGTATATAATTTATATAGTATATAAGGCCAGCATGAATTTATGCTATCATTCCATCAAACTCACCAAGACAAGATCTGTCAGTCTTTTCAGATTTCCTGTTTTCATCAACATTTTTGTTTTGTGAATTGCTTTATCATGCCTTCTTCCCATAAGTCTCTTTAGGTGTAGTTGATGATTAACTTTAAGAAATACTAATTGCGGGCTGGGGATTTGGCTCAGTGGTAGAGCGCTTGCCTTGCATGCCTGAGGCCCTGGGTTCAATTCCTCAGCACCACATAAGCAAAGAGAAAAAAAGCCGGAAGTGGCGCTGTGGCTCAAGTGGCAGAGCGCTAGCCTTGAGCTGAAGAGCTGAGGGATAGCGCTCAGGCCCAGAGTTCAGGCCCCACAACCGGACCCCCAAAAAAATGCTAATTGCTCAGCTACCTATTTTGAAAACCATATTTCTTTTATTTCAGTTTTGGGGGCTATTGACATACTAAGTTAATGTCTTGAGGAAAACCTTCACTGACCCCTTATTTGAAAGAATTTCTTCAGGTTGAAAAACAAAAAATGCATTTTTTTCATTTTTTTTAAATTTTATAGAAGAGAAGTTTATAAAATTCATTATCAGCCTGAATTTATCTGAGGAAATCTTTTCTTCACTCTGGGCTCATTGATCTTCTGACAGATGCTTCTTCTTTTTTTTTTTTTCCCCTCCCGTTTTTCTCTTAAGTAAAATGAATGGCTAGATTCATGCCATCAATCCAAAAACCAGGTCTGCTGTAAGCCTGGCTATTTGTGCTGGACAATGTGAAAAGCTTTATAAATGTGTTCATTTCTGTCCTTTTCTTTGTGGCTTAAAAGACAGGAAGCTTGTTTGCTCTGGTAGCTATCAGGTATAGTAGTCAAAGATTTCAG